GGGGGTGGGGGGGGGTGGTGTTAATTGGTTTAGGTTTTTTTACATAAATCAACAAACAAGCTTAATTTTATAGTGCTGGCAAGGGGATTAATAAATCATAAAACTTTTTTCATGTGTATTTTCTGGAACAGTAGATAACATCTCTAACAGATTCCATTCTTGATTGAGGTACTGCATATCGAACACACTTGAAGTGTTGGCTATTGTTTTTTTATATCAGCTTCAACTCTTATCTATGTGTCTTACATACAGCTGTAAGTATTGTACTCCAAAACTAAGACATTCCATTCTTCATGTCAATCGGTAGTTATTAAAATAGCTAAACACAGCAATCTATGCATATGTTCACAACTTCTTTTACATTCTGCAGTAAAACTGATTTATAAACAAACAAATTATCTTTGAGACACTGTAGGACTAAAGTAGCTTAGTGAGGAAGAAGTTAATTCTTGCATCTGCCACTGCACATACAATAAACTGGGCATTTGACCTACAGAGAGAGAAAGAAGAATCATAGATTCAGTGAATGGTTTGGGTTGGAAGACACCTTTAAAGGTCATCCAGTCCAACCCCCCTGCAATAAGCAGAGACATCTTCAACTCGATCAGGTTGCTCAAAGTCCTGTCCAACCTAACTTTGAATTTTTCCAGAAACAGGGAATCTACCACCTCTCCAGGCACTGTTCCAGCCTTTCACCACCCTCACTTAAAAAATTTCTTCTTTATATCTAGTCTAAATCTACCTTCTTTTAGTTTAAAACCATTACCCCTTGTCCTATCACTACAGGCCCTACTAAAAAGCCTACCTAACTTATAAGACCCCTTTAAGTACTGAAAGGCTGCAATAAGGTCTCCCTTGAGCCTTCTCCAGGCTGAACAACCCCAACTCTCTCAACCTGTCCTCACAGGAGTGGTGTTCCATCCCTCTGATTATTTTTGTGTCCCTCCTCTGGACCGAATCCAACAGGTCCATAATTATCCTGTGCCGAGGACTCCAGAGCTGGATGCAGTCCTCCAGGTGGGTCTCACCAGAGCAGAGTAGAGGTGCAGAATCACCTCCTGGCAATGTTTCTCTTGATGCAGCCCAGGATACGGTTGGCTTTCTGGGCTGCAAGCGCACATTATTGGCTCATTTTCAGTTTTCCATCCACTAATACCCCCAAGTCCTTCTGCATAGGGCTCCTCTCAATCCACTCATTTCCCAGCCTGTATCTGTGCATGGGCTTGCCTCAATCCATGTGCAGGACCTTGAACTTGGCCATGTTGAACCTCATAAGGTTCACACGGACCCACTTCTTGAGCTTGTCCAAGTGTCTCTGGGTGGTCAGTCACACTACTCAGCTCGGTGTCATCTGTAAATTTGCTGTGGGTGCACTCAATCCCACTGTTGATGTCATTGATGAAGATATTAAACAGTACTGGTCCCAATACAGACCCATGAGGGACACCACTTACCACTGCTCTCCACTTGGATATCAAGCCATTGACGACCACCCTCTGGATGTGATCATTCAACTAATTCCTTATCCATAGAACAGTCCATCTATCAAATATGTATATCTTCAATTTAGAGAGAAAGATGTTGTGGGGGACCATGCTGAAGGCCTTACAGAAGTCCAGATACACAACATCCATAGCTCTTGCCTTGTCCACTGTTGTAGTCACTCCATCATAGAAGACCACTAGGTTGGACAGGCAAGACTTGCCATTGGTGAAGCCAGGTTACGGAGCAGTCAGGTTAATTGGATTTGTATACGATTTCTTTTGTTTTAAGCCTGTTGCATTAATGTTTAAGAAGGTAAGTGTATACAAAAACTAAAGTACAGATAAGCAAAGTATCATTATTTTATGCTTTTAATGTTTCCAGTGTGGTATTTTTCTCTGTTGCAGGACAAATCTTCAAATAGTTATTCAGACTGCACTTTAGGAGTATCCACAAGCAATTTAGACCTACTCAAGCTTTATTTATCTTCCAGAAGTATGCGATTACAATTTTCAACCAATAGTTATTGGTCAGTGGATGGTTTGCTATGGTATTTGTCAAGTTCTGTTCCTGACTGGAGCTCTGTTGCTCAGTAACTGTTTGACAGAGAGGACTTGTGGTTTCTGGTTTGATTTTCATAACTGGAAGAAGTGGATTTTCACTGCAAATAATTAGGTTTATAAGTTTCTCATTTATTTTCCATTCATATTTTGTAGTATTGCTTGAAAGTGATTCTTTTATCAGTCAGCTCTGACAGGAAATGTTGGCTAGAATGTGTGCAGAGAGAAACATAGATGAGGAATAAATACAGCCAAAGTAAATATAATGTGTCTTCCTGATCAGAGAAACATGTTTGAGATATTATCTCAACTTCACTAGACTTGGGAGTCTAGTTGTCGCTGTAGTAGGTCATGAGTAAGCCCGGTAAAAGGTGAGCTCACTTTCTAAGAGAGGCACAGCCATCTAAGAGCAATAAAGGATAAAGAAGGGAGAAGTTCAGTGTCTACTGGAACTGCCTGGAGGAGAAGTGTTACCTGGGAGCTGTTTGGAGAACTGGGCAGTGGAGAGGGCAACTGGACTTATCTGGATAGAGGAGAATGAGCTGGAGAGGACCAAAAATCAGTGACTCACTTCCAGCTTCTCTAAGCTGAGGAACCAGCAGCGGGTGGGAGATCCTCGAAAGGGTGGGAGCAGGAGGGACAGTTTGTAAGTCAGCGAAGGTTTTTAGTGTTATGTGTAGACTTGGCAGTGTTACGTTTACAGTTAGGTCTTAGTCTTTTCCAACCTAAATGATTCTATGTGCACAGTGGAACAAATACACTTTCTCTGAGTTTTTAAGAATTATTCTGCACTCCTGGAAAATAAGTAATTTCAGGTAGACTGGGCTATTTGAAGGTCTTCGGTGTTACTCTGGAAGGGCTGAGAAGGTGCAGTGGAGATAGCATCCTATCACACAATCCCAGCACAAATGGGTGTGCCAGCAAACAGGGCAATAAAGAGATGTTTTCTGAATTAGGGATGTAGCTAAATTTATCAAATAATCCCTGATGTTGAAAATTAAACACATATATTTTGAGTATTCTTTTTTATGTATTTATAAATTCTTTGGAGTTTTAGCAGGTGAAAAATATTGTGAGAAAAACCTTCCCTCTAACAGAACTGTTGCTTCTGTTAATAACACACTGCTGAGAAAGTGCAGGAGCATATAAAGAATTCTTTGTGAGGGAGGATTTGTTAATTTTTAAAGGGAGAGGTGTGGGAGAAACCTGTGTTTGGATTAAAGTCATTGTGAATTTAGGTGATTCAGTGAAGCATAGAGTGCTCAATGCTGTAAGGTACTGAACCCCAGGGCTGTGATCCAAAAGAAGCATTTAAATACCTGACTATTGTCAGGCTCATGAATAATCTCGTAGAAGGGAATGATATATTTTATATTCTTGAAGGTGTATTTCAGTGCTTTTTTGAAATAGATCCTTAGTACATTGCAGGTTTGAGCCCTTGAGAAGCAAGGAGTACCAATAAAGAAGTAAGTATAAATAGACCAGCTAGAAATAATACCTTGATATATGAAATTGCAACAAAAAATTGGTCAGGAAAGAGAGTGGTGAAGACTACAGAGTGTTGCTAACAGAAAACTAGTTTCTTAGTCATAGAGTGTGTTGTTACATTTGAAGAAGCTAAGACTGTAAGCTAGATTAGATATTGATGTTGCTATGTTATTGAAAATCAGAGTAACAGTACTGAAATCACTATCTGATTAACTAATCATGTTTATAATTACATGCTGCAAAGCCAGGATAATTCCATAATGCCAGCTGAGTCTGGATTTAACATATTCATATAATGGTTTGAGGTATGAAATGAAATGCCAGTTAACAACAATAGAAACAAGGCATGAAATATATTTAAGAAGGTGTACATTTTTCTGGAAGAGAAAGAGTAGTGAAATCACTGCAGCCATGTGCTAAATATTTGGGTTGAATATAATGAAGTAGAAAATTACTTGTATTTGTCACTCTGACTAATGTAAGTGCAGGCCCTGATGGATTGTTGTGTCTCCTCTTTAGATCTTGGTTATTCACGGGTTTCTTTAGATGGCCTACAGAAATGTGACATAGCATCCTGGGATGATGGCTAAAACAAAAGTAAAGCAGGTTGTTGAATGCTGCTGTTGTTAGATTATAATTTATTTGCTTTTGTGTTTTGCTTTGTATTGATTTCCCCTTAGTCTCATATAAAATACTGCAGTCTTCTTAGATTCATTTGAATCATAGAACTGCACTGTCAAAAAGACACTAGAGTGTTCATATTGCTCCTGCATTCTTTATAATTGTAATTATATTTCTAATTTGTAATTCTGAAAAACAGAATACTGAGTGACTCAAAAACCTCCATGCAACTCTGCCCCAGTAACTCAAGGTTTAGCTGTCATAGCTGGAGTTTTGATGCTGGCAAAGGCAGTTAACTGATGCTAATGGTGTTTGGGTAAACTGTAAGAATAATCTATTTTTGTAAGATATTTAGATACCTAAGCTGTTTGGACATTTTCAAGATTTGTAGCAGACACACAACTGCCACTGAAGTCCCAGTCTACATTTTCATTTAGAAGTTTAAACATCTTTGAAATTTTTCCCTTTCGTCTGGTGCAACACCTCTTGAACCCTAGGTAATTCTGTGAGCTTTAGGTAGTGTCCTAAATTAAGATTGTGATGTTTATATGATGTCAGCGCAGCATCATTTCACTTTACAGCTGGAGTTTTGAAAACAGACTTCAGAAATGAAAATGCATGTACAGATTTAGCGGCTACCACTTAATTTTCACATTTATATTCTGTTTAAGACTTCAAAGCAAAAGTGATATCTATAGAGAATAACAGCCTAGATCTGATTTTCAGGCATGTGAAGTGCTGAGCAGTGCCTGCTGATAGGCCATCAGACCTCTCTCCCTGACAATGCAAAGTGCCTCTTTACCAATAACTTCATAACCTACTTTTCCCTGCCAGCTTGTGCATTAAGAGGTGTACGACTGAATTCTGAGCTTCTACTGAGGCAAGTCTGGCATAATAACTGACAGTAAGAAGTGTGGTGAAATCACTATAGGATAAAAAAAAAAAGCCTGAAGACTGTCAGTAGTGAGAGATCTCTGTTATTCTAGGATTAATACTTCTTTTTCTGTCCAGAACTTCTGCAGAGTTGACATCTGCAGAGCATATGTTCTGGGAAGGTGAGTTAAGATCTTAAAAAAAAAAAAAAAAATCGAAGCCCTTGGAGTATTTTTATTTAAGCAAAGAGTTTGCAAATTTTATGGCATTTATTTTCCTAATACTACAAACTCTAATTTCTCATAATAAACTTCTTGAGGTGTAATAGCAACCTAGCTTATTTAAACTTGCCTGCAGGGATTTCCAGAGCAGATAATCTGTGAGCATTATGCATGTTTCATTTCCTGGATTCTTAGGCAGGCAGTGAAGTTATTCTTACTGTAAACATTTTTAGGAGTGAGGATTTTGAGGAGCAGACCTTCAACTTGTGTACCAGTCTGGTATAGTTCTTTTGACTACAAGGAAATGCCACCAATTTATGCAAGCCAAGACTCTGGGTCACATTTTTCTAAATGGTATCTGATCAGTTCTCTGTGTAAACCAGTGCTTGCTTAATACTTTTTCTCTCCTGCCTTGTATTAGGACCCCCACAACGAACCGTTTCCCCCAAACAAGACCATGAAGAAAGGAAGCACGACAAAGTCTTGGACAAGGGCAGTGAAAGTGGGACTTCCTGTAATGAGTTGTCCACCTCAAGCTGTGACAGCCACTCAGAAGCGAGCACCCCTCAAGAAAATGCCACCAGCACTCAGCCATCCACAGCCAACCAGCCAAACACTCTGACTTTGGATCGTCCATCTAAGAAGGCCCCGGTGCAGTGGATGCCACCACCAGACAAACGCAGGAACAGTGAACTCTTTCAAACTCTCATTAGCAAGTCCAGAGAAACAAATCTTTCCAAAAAGAAGGTATGTGAGAAGCTGAGTGTTGAAGAAGAAATGAGAAAATGTATCCAAGATTTTAAAAAAATCCACATTCCAGATTACTTTCCAGAGCGCAAACGTCCCTGGCAGTCTGAACTCTTACAGAAATATGGGTTATAGTAATCAACTCTTTCATGATGTGTCTCTGGGGTGTTTGATGTTTATTAAGTTGCCACTAATTTACCAATGTCCTCCTCCTGGCCAACTCTGCCACCAGAGCTATTCCTACTGCTTATTTCTTTCTGTGAACAGTGGATGTTGGATAGTACATGGTTTCTTTAAAAATATATATTAAAAGATAGAAACTTAAAAAAATACAAAAGGCATCTCATCTAAACCACCTCATAATAGCAAAGAAAAAAGTGCATGGTCAAGAAAGATGGTTTTCAAACTGTAGTCAGTTGAACTTCATTATCGTTTTGGAACTTACGGAGTAAACGTTTCAATCATCAGTTAACGCCTCGTTTTATGTCACCAATAACAATGACTCAGACTCACTATGGATGAAGAGATACAGGGTTTAAAATTCGATTGAACTGGTTTCGGAACTAATTCCCAATGTTCTTTCAATGTTAATGCAATAAAGCAAATACCTATTTTGCATGAGCACAATGTTACAAATAAATCACACAAGAACAAGAGGTCATCTGTTGCTTGGAGAATTATTTGTTTGATACCAAGCCTATAAACATAAAATGTCTAAGGGATTGAATTTACTTTGTTCTGGATCTGTGATTTTTTTGTGTGTACAGTGTTCTGTATGTAAGGATGGTGTAAATATGCCTTATACTGTTTTATTATTGCACCAACATTCATCTATTAGTGCTTGTCAGGGTTATTTCTGTGAAATGCAAACTTATGGCAGATTGTGAAAACTGGTTTGATGGTCTGAAAGTTTCTGTTATGTTAGTCACTAAAATTGGAGAGAAATAAAAGAGACTTTAATGTATTTATTAAAGGAACCATCTGGTAGATTTTCTTGACTATCATTATCTCTTCTCTTTTTTAAAAATAGAATCAAGCAAATTGTTACTTTTTGTTTAACGTTTTCATAACTACTCTGCTGAAAAAAACCCAACCAAACAGAAAACATATTTCAAGAGTGGGTGAAAAATATTTAGGGTAGTACCATTTAATTGTAACCACCATACAGACTCTTCAAGAAGAAGACTTACACTAAGAAGCAGTGGGGAATGAACTAAAAAACCTAGTGATTTTACTAAAAAAGCAGAAAACAGTTCCAATTTGACAAGTTCACAAAAATCAGCTTAGAAATAGAAGATTTAAAATATCACAGCAGAATGTGCTACATTTACAAATGAAAAGTTTTCTATGAATAGTCAACTGTAAATGACAGACCTATTTTCTCAGATCAGATACAGGAAAATCAATACCTCTCTCATTACAACACCACTAAGAAGATGTCTGTGGTTCAGACAGCCATACCTGGAATGGGTAAGAACTGCTGGAGTTTGCAAGAGAGCTGTTGTGTTCTTACAGACTTGAAATTATTACTGTGTGCGCACACAAAAACATACGCATACACATTAAGAAGGGCTCATCCCCAAAAAATGATTCTATAGCAGGAACTGTACGATTGTGTCAGAAGAGATGTTTTACATTCGATGGTAATTTTAACTCTTTAGCTAAAGCAAAGAGGACTTCTTGTGTTGTTATTTCCATGGTTATTACTAATGCTTGTATTTTCAATCTTCTAATAGGCCACTTTTTAAAAAAGAATGCATACTTTTCACAGCAGCTCAGCAACTTCTTTCACTTTTTTTTTTTTTAACCTATCTAGAGCCAGTTATTATCCAACTCAGTTAATCAGTTGGCTCCAACATTTCATGTTTTTATAACTTGATAGAGTATATCTGGGATAATTCTAGTCTGCACCAATTCAGTCCAGTCTGAGATCATTTGGCTTCTCAGCTCTACCCTTATGTTCCTTGCTTGCTTTGTCTGGGGTCCAGAAGACCCATTCCTTCTTTGGAAAGTTTTTTGCTTTTTAGACACATTTAGCATTTGTGTTCTCTCTCTTGTTTGATCTTTGGCTTCCTAGTCTTTACCTGATGAAATTTCCAACTATTTAACCACAACTTACTAACCTCCAGTGGATACAATTCTGGTTTTTATTTAATCTAGAGTTCACCTATTATTGAAAGCTTCTAAAAATCTCACACTGAATTTTCTTCTAGCCTTTTGAATCTGTCTTCATTGCACTTCTCCCACTTTATTCCATTTTCTGTCCCCTTTGTTTAGGCTAATTTTCCATCTGGGATGATACCTCTTAGATTCAAACAGCATCTTGAACCTTCCCATTAAACCTTGCCATTGAGTTTGTGGATTTGTTTTGCCTTAGTTATTCTCAGTACTACAGGCAGAACCTACCTGTGGTATGCCTAGGTGTTTGTTTGACGTGTCCATCCATTTTAATTTGTCCATATAGAGATGTTTATATACGCTTTTTAATATTTTTTTAATGTACTACCTAAAATTTCTCAGAGCATTTTTAATTCGTTTTTGAGGAGAACAGAATATTATCTTAATACATACCGTAATATATGGGCAGCATAAATTTTATGATAACCTTAACCACTTTCTGTGTTTTCACAAGGCATGTGAGTGATGTGGCAGATAAATTACATTGCTGTTACCTAGCAACCACACCAGCATCCTAAAATGAAGTGTTTTGGATTTGGAGTTGCACAGTTTACACTGTTCTTCCAGAGTGAAAAACTGGGATGAGTTATAGTTGGAGAGAGTGGGAGAAAACAATTGCTTCTGTGACTCCTTTGGGCATATTCTCTAATTCCCATCACACATTTTATCCAGTTTACCCAGTTACAGCTCCAACCCTATCTATATGATTATTCATCTACAGTTTTCAGATTCCAGCCTGTAATTAGGGAGAAAGGAGGCTGAGGCATTTGGTGGAATGGAGGAGCTTATGGACAGTTAGATGGCTAAGATTGGTAGGAAATGCCCAGGTGTTACAAAAGAATTGTGTATTAGGACATTGGGGGCTGATTGCTTCCCTTTGTCTTCTGTTTTTCTTACTTTTCTATGATAGCTGCTTTTGCTTTTTCCATTTCACTCTTCTTTTTCTCTTCTTTACAGATATTTACTTTGTTACACACAGGAATAGTTTACCATGGGAATCTGTGCCTTTTATTGGACTTCTGTGGAGGTGGTCATTACATTAGAATTCCATTCCATATGAAGTTTATGATTTTAAACCAACATTTTTCTGGAAAGGAAGGAAAGATCAAAATACTGACATTTGTCAATATTAAATTTAAAAAGGAATGTAAATAATAAATAGTTTGTATTTTTCTTTCAATATTTCAATTACTATTTTTATATTAATTTCACATTTTATAGAGTTATGTTTTAAAGTTATATTACATCTTTAGTTTAGTGTCATTAAAGACCAAGTAGTTTTTAGTCAGCAGATGCTATTATAAATCATAATTGAATTGATAATTGCATTGTCAAAATATATAAAAAAATTTAAAACAAGATAAAATACAAAGAGGTAGTATAGCATGTAAATGAAGAATTTGTCTGGAAGGAAAGTAATTCTTATAAAAAAAATGAAATATTTCTTTTTCAGATTTTTTTTCTAAATCAACACAAGCCCCTAAATCATGGTTGTATTGGGAATTCAACATCTAATACATATCCCTTTATGTTTTTCAGCTGAGTTTAATTCTTAATTTTTTACATGTTCAGCAATATAAAATGCAATATTCTAGATTATGTTTAAAGATTTGGAGCTGATAAAAATAAAACAAATCTTCCTTCACAAGTAGTCTCTCAGTAAAGCTGATATTTCACAGGAGTACCATATCAGAATCTGCTGCAAAAATTGTTATCATTGCCTGTGTTTATTCATTATAAAAGTTAATTTTAAGATCTCATAATGGATATTATGTGTGCCAATTTTTATATAATTTATTGTTCTAACTGAACAGATGGGGAATAGAGGTACAATTTTGCCATACAGTGATGTTTACACCTTTTAAATGTGTGAACAAAAATCAGAATTACATGGCGGACTAATTAGTCTGTTGCTGAAGAAATATTTCTGAACCCTTCTTCACTAAGAAAAATTTACAAGTCTTAGAATAATTGAAATTAATTCTGAAACAGAGTTTTAGAGTTCACTTTGATTCAATTTGAATTAAATGCTAAATTGTATAAAAAGCATCATTTTGTGGCTTTCTTTTAAAAAAGTGCTTATGCAAAATCATTTGACTTGCTAATACTGTCTTTGTTCAGGTAATGATATTCAAAAATATACTTCCTACTGGAGGTGGAAAACCCAATTTAGTATACTTGGTAATGAGAGGGCAATGATGGGTTCCCTCCATGAATGACTCATGTACTGAGCCAAGCTCTTCAGGATGCTCAGAAATTCTCAAGAAACCTTTAGCTTTTTGCAGGATCACACCACTGGTATGGCTCACCATAAAAATAGCATTCACACATTACTTCAGCTTATATATTGCAGGCCGCCAAGTAGTTTTTTCCTTTCCAGGATCTGTTACCTAGAAGTAATTTTCAAGCTGTTTCCTATTTTTCACTCTACGCCTGTCTTTTCCATTGTTACTATGGACATTCATACAATCACTTTTATTTAAGAGCTTATCTGTTCCTTACTTGAAGGCACATACCCAAATTCAGAAGGGACTCCTAGAGTCTTTACACTGGAAAATGATGGGGGAAGCTGGGCACACTGGGAATGTTGCTGGTTTGAATAACCTTCAGCACTGCTGGCAAGAAGACGCCATAAAGCACAAGCTGGAAGGCAAAGTCACATCATCCCTACAGGTCATGCTCTCTTTCAGGCTGTGAGGCATCCAATACTTTTAGCAGTGTCCAGTCATCCAGTGAAGTGAACCATGAAGACATCATTCACCAATAAATGAGCCACTGATGCTGTCAGCATCCAGTTTGCAATCCACAGCTGTTGTGTGTTGGTACAGAAGCTAAATAGGTCATCCTGGTTCAGATATGGTGATGCTGGGCTGCGAGAGGCTGGTGCAAGCAAGAGATACTACTCACACAGTATGTCCATTCATGGAGATGTACTACTTATTGAGGGTTTCTGTAGTGGATACCTGCCTTAACAGAGGTATACCCTGCATCACTGTATCTGAACAGGGACCATTGTTTTATTCTGCTCTATCATCACTGTTTGCACAGAAAACAGCTGTCCTGTAGGACCAACTCCTGGGGTCCTTACATGTAGATCCCCAGCTGAAGATGGAGATCTCTGCTGCTGCATCACATTGTTCCTTCTTTGAAACTGGTGACAGTGTGCAATGGGGTGCTGAGAAAACAGAGTACGAATGGTGCCCAGAAGAGAAACTCAGCACTGACTGTGCTCCCATCTGTTTGAAGCCTGGCTCCCTGGATCATCCTCTGTTGCAGGCATTAGATTGTGTAAGACACTTTGGGGAAGTGCACAAAGGGAGTGAGTGCAGTTAACGACGAATATAAGAGAACACATCTTTGGGAATTTCTCCTCCCCTAAGAGCTCCTCCTCTTCTTGCTGGGCCATCTCTTTTGAGATAATAAGAAAGGAAAAGGGATTGTGAAAACCAGTAATACCAGATGGCGATAGTGAGAATTTCTGCGTCCCTGTGTTGCATTGACTTTTAAAAGTCCTATATTTTTTCACAATGTTACTTTATGTACCTTTTTAAACAGAAAAGGGGAAAGTAGAAATAACGATGGGATTGGTTTTGAGATCCTATATCATATAATCTTTCATACTCAGATGAAGTTCTAGTATTGAGCATATTAAGTGTTTCAATTACAATGCAGTGCAATTTTTTAGCATGAAGTCACCCCAGAACAGATGAGCACCAGTAACAAGAAGTAAATTAAATTTACATAAAAGGGAGATCACAAATAGGTAATAAATAATCTTTTCAGATTCTGAAGCAGCATTTAATGCTGAAGT